ACCATCAAGCGAAGGCCATCACTGGGTGATTGTTGCCACAGATTATTTTACTAAATGGGTTGAGGCCAAGGCTTGCAAAGCGGTTGATCAGCAAACAGTGATTAATTTCATGGAACAAAACATCATCCATAGATTTGGGATTCCAGAAACACTTGTTTCAGACAATACAACAGTATTTAGGGCAACTGATGTACTACAATTCGGCCACAACATGAATATTCATATGTCAGCCTCTACGCCATACTATGCTCAAGCAAATGGCCAGGCCGAATCTTCAAACAAAATTTTAATAGAGATCATTGAAAAAATGACCAAAGATAAGCCAGAAGGCTGGCTGAATTATAATCAGCCAGAAGGTTGGCCGAATTATAATCAGCCGCTGGTGGTAAATCAAGATCGACCGATCATTGATTATCTTAATCAGCCAACGACGGTCGATAAGGTTCAGTTGGCTGATCCTATTAAGCAAGAATATGGTAATGGCCTTAAGCGAATAGGTCGACTAATGTACAAAAAGCCAAAATCAGCCACATCCGACACTCAAACATCTACCATATCTACCAAAAAGGGAGCAGATGATGAAGTCATGGAGGTCGACAATGATATTTTCATACCAGGTAGTAATGTGATCGGCCAGGCTCCCAAAAGGAAGGTTGATGAAGGGAATCAGCCTAAGGTTACCGAGAGTACACCATCAGCCATTCCGAATGTCAAGGCTCTCATACAACACGATTGTTGCCCTGAATGGAAAGGTAAAGGAATTTCATAATTAAATCGGCTAGATTACCAGAATACTTGGCCGAGAGTGGTATCTAATCCTCAGCCAAAATCATCATTGGCTAAGAGAATTCTTTTTGCCTCTCGTTCTCAACCGAATTTCAAGAAAAGAAAACGGGGATGGAAACTAAAAAGGGTTAAGTGGAGAAGAAATTCGCGGAAGAAAATGAATCGGCCAATTAATGCAAAATTTTGCATGGCCAATGCAGTGCTACATGAAGAAAATAAAATGGGGCGACCAATATCGGCCATAATGAAAAGAAGTCTAGCTGATATTAACTCTAAAAGGTTAGTCAGAAAGGTATTTTGGCTGAAGATAATGTTTCATCGGCCAGCTATTGAGGTGCCAAATAAAAAAATCAAGGACGAGACAGGCCATAGCCGCTGGCATTCTAAAAGCTTACCCCGGCAGATAAAAAAATCGGCCACAAAAGAAATACTATTCTTGGTATTTTTGGCTGATATAGCCGAAGTCATCAAAGAAAATGACTATTCAAAAACATGGGATGGCGTACTTTCAGAAGCTCCATGGGAGTATAAAAATTCAAGAGGATCAGCCATCAGAAAAGCTCCATACTGGCAGAATTTTGTTCTTTCAAAACAAAAGCCAGTTAGATCGGCCCAAATGACATTACATAACTGCTTGATCCCGGCCGATCACGATCATGCCTTACTAATAGAGTTGGGAAACTTCAATGGTGAGGTCTATCATGTATTTATAAATGGCCAATGTTTTGAGAGGTATCAGCCAGCTTTGTGGGAATAATAGAAGAACCAGGATCGGCCAGCCCTGGCTGACGCAAAATAAAGACCAGCATAGAGGTGGTTCGGAAGAAATAAAGTCTAGAAGCTCGCTGGCTGCCAGTTTCTTTCATGTTATAAAAATTCCAAAAATCTTATCGACCTGAGTGGCCGATAAGACATTTGAAATTTGAGGGGCATTTGTTGGCACCAAAACTTGGCAGCCACCTCAGCGGTGACGTGGACCAGCGATGGGCCGACACTTGTTTAGTATGATTTCAAGAAAAGTCGGCCAATTGAGAAACAAGAGGAGAAAATCTAGGAATTTAGCCACCTTATCCAATAAGGTTGTTGCTGAAATTTGGTAACTAATATTTGAATTAATTCAAATATGTTGTTTAAACTGGAAACTAGAGATTTAGCTAAAAAGAAATCCTTATGAAATAGGGGTTTAATTGGAGAAGGGATTCCAAAAAAGGAGGAGCAGTCACAGGAGTTATAGATAAATTCAAAAGCTGTAAATGGCTATTAGGCCATTTAAGGAAAATATGTCAGCCGAGCTTATGGAAAGGAGTTGCTAAAAATTAGCAACATTTTAACAATGTTCTGGCAACTTACATGTGACTAAATCAAGGAAGTTGGTTTCAGCAAGGATTTCCTACTAAGGCAAGCCATGAAGATAAGGAGAAGTATATTGAGTTTTGACTTAGTTTGATTCACGAAGAGAAGAAAATCAAGGAATGAGAGATTTTCTAGCAAAAAGTTAGGAAAATAAGTTGAGAAAGAATTTTATAAATAGGAAAGTTGTAATCCTATTCCAATTTGTCCAGCACCACCACAAAACATGCATTTCAACTAAAAATGTTTTCAATTGACTCTACGTCATTTTCCTATCAATTTCTTTATTTCAATTTAATGGCAATTGATTAGATCCTCGTCAACTATTTCGATTCAGCCATTTACTTTCTTTCAATTTCAATTATGCCAATTTTAATTACGCAATTTTAGTTAGGCTTTCAATTCAATGGCAATTGATTAAATTCTTGCCATTGAATCGTAGTGACAATTGATTAAATTCTTGTCATTACTTGGCTGATGGCAATTGATTAAATTCTTGCTATCACGTTTCAGTGGCGATTGATTAAATTCTTGCCATTGTGTTTGGCTGATGGCGATTGATTAAGTTCTCGCCATCACGTTCGGCCGGCGATCGATTAAGTTCTTGCCGCCTGTCTTCACTCGGCCATTCCATCCATTCAAACATTCATCAGCCGTTGCATTTCTTTAGACACTCTAAAAAGTCCTTGCTACAAACAAGGCATAAAAGAACCTTACTGGGAGTTCTTACTAGTCTCTCTCCCACACAATCGCCTGAGAGTCAGCCATCGGAAAAAGGGATAGGCTGGTGTTCAATTACATATTTTGGGTATTTTGTACAAATACTCTGGCACGCCCGTGAAGAGTCCATCGACTGGCGTAGGGAACACAAACCGCGCGAACAGAAAGTACAAGTGTATTCAACTTTTTAATAGACCTTTCAAGTTCCAAAGATAGATAGGACAATCATTTGAATAGGATGAAAGAACAACGAGAGTGTCCTAAGACCATGCTAAAAATGATAAGGGTGTCATTTACTCCCTGCCTTCCAAAGGCATCTTGAAGGGAATAGAACAGCCCATTTAACAGAGCTCTCAGCTATTGATCTAGTAACACTGTAAGAGAAGAGATGTTCCCCTAATCTAAGCTGCTTTATAGGGGATAAATTGTCCAGTGGCCTCCTCCCAGAGGAAAACCATTGAGGGAGAAGTCACAGATAACATGATGAAGTTCAGTGAGTGGTCGAGGAGACAGTACGCCTCTTCAGGGAAATCCCAATCAAGCCTATCATAAAAATTTCAAAGTTCGTGATGGCAGATGCGTACGCTTTTGTGAGGATCTTTGGTGTGGAGACCGGCCTTTATCTTGTTTATTTCCCAGGTTATACAGTATTGTAGTTGATAGACTTGCCTACGTAGCCAACTGTTATCAACTTGATAGCAGAGGGATTACGTGGGACGTGCAATTTCAACGCTCTTTTCAAGATTGGGAGGTGGATGAGGTATGTGTTTTCCTAGATTTGTTGTATCGACAGGAGGCTTTTGGCAGAGGTAGTGATGATATGACATGGATTCCCTCTTCCCATGGTCGCTTTGAAGTTCGTTCCTTATTCTTATGTCTTTCTGATTTCGATATTGTTGATTTTCCATGGAAGACTATTTGGCGTTCTATGGCTCCAACTAGAGTGGCATTCTTTGTGTGGACCGTTATTTGGGGTAAGATCCTTACGATTGATAATCTAAGGAAAAGGGGCAATTGTCTTGTTAACTGGTGTTGCTTGTGCAAACAAGATGGTTAGTCAGTTGCTCACATTCTCATGCATTGTCCTATGGCCAGGGATTGTTGGAATCTTATCTTTTGTCTGTTTGGTATGCGTTGGGTTATGCCTCGTTATCCTAAGGATTTGATTTGTATACGGAGAGGATGCCGTGTGAGTAGTGCTGTTCGCGATTATTGGAGAGTTGTACCACATTGTGTTTGGTGGTGCATTTGGAAGGAGAGGAATAGTAGAATGTTCGAAGGGAAAGAATCGTCCACAGCGATTCTAAAACTTCACATCATATGCTCTCTTTTCAGTTATGTGAAGAGGAAGTCCTGTTTTTCTTCCGAAGATTTAATTATTTGTTTGGCTTCTTTGGGATCTTAATCCCTAGTTCTAGTTGGGAACACTAAGTTCATCTAGTAAAGCTTTAAAATCCATTGGCTGTGGCATTAATCAGAATCTTCTAGGCCACATTGCAAAGTCCTATGGTCTCCAATTCAGGCATAATTTCAGGGCACCTAAGGCCTCTCTAGCAAGATCAACAACTGAGGGGAGGTAAAAACATTAGACAAAAATTTCTGGGAAATCAGAGCTTGCAACCTTTCAATACTAGGAGCATTAGAAGAGGCATGCTGAAGATACCCTTCTTCACAACTGGATAAATTCCCATCTGACAAAAGCCTATTGTCATTGGTTAGACATACACACAAACATAGTATATATACATATAGATATATATATGTATGATGGGAAGGTCAGAAATCATATTGTTCATCTTGGAAATGAAGGGTTTTGTATAAATCAGTTGCTTGCTACATAAAGATAATCTGATCATATTATAAGTGTTCAAAATTAAAAACCCAATTGAGATCAGTAATCAAGCAACACTCAAGAATTGAAACATATTCATTAGAATTTATTATATGAGTAGCAAGTCCATGAAGCAAACTAGTAGAAAATGCACATTCATCAAAGCCCAAGTGACCAACAAACAAAGTCTCATCATGCCAACATCACACCCAGATGATCAAAAGTCACAGAACAACCCAAAAACACAAACCGAATTGAAAAAACAGAAAAGTGAGTAAAGACGAATAAAGCCGACAGTGAGGCTCAAATTTACCTTTTACGGCGGCAAATTTGACGGAGAAGAAGAACTGTGAGATTGATCCAACGGAGAAGAGATCGATGTCATCTCAGCGTTGGTGAGATGTTGAGCTTTAGCGAACACGCACGTGACATCGCGCTTGGAAAGTTATTTATTTATTTTATAAGGAAAGATTAGAAATTAGATTAATCGGTGCAAATAATCGAAGTCTAACATTTCCAAATTCACCGGAACAACTAACCAATGGCCTATCAAGACAGTTGTAGCTTGGAATGGGACTTAGTATATAACTTTTACATTAATTATTTTTTTTCAAAAAAAAATAATTAAAATTAGAACCCAGTTTGTAACTTACTATTTACTACAGTACAAATAAAAAATAAAAAATTAGTTTGTAACTTACTTTTGTGGAAAATTAGAACCCATCTTGTAACTTACTATTTACTACTGTACATGTTAAGTATATAATTTGTAAAAAATTATAAAATTCTCTCTCTAATTCCTTTTTTTTTTTAATCTATTTAATTCCTTATTTTTTTTTCCTTCTTCTCCAATTTTTTTAATTCTCTTAAAAAAAAAAATTTAGTTTCCTTTCTTCAATCAAAACCTAACTTTTCTTTTCAAAATTCTCTCATTTTTTATTTTATTTTTTCTTCTTAACAATTTTTTTTTTTTCTTATACTAATGTATGTATTATATACAGTAACCTTTTCTCTCTTCTTATTTATTTTTTTAAAATTATTTCTTGACTTTATTACTGAAATTTTGTACATCAAACATGTCATAAAAACACATTAATGCACCATTACTACTTGTGCACTATTAGTTGAAAAAAGAAAATTGTCATGCTTAACTTAATATGCCCCCGAACCAAATTTTTGTCTCCACCCCCTCCCTCTTGTCCTTCCATATTCTTGCGTGCAGAAAATTTTTAAAATTGATTCGGAAAATTGGAATGTTTAAGTTGTTTTTGGCTTTTGGTGCAAAATATTTTACCTGTAAAACATTTTACCAATTCTACGTGTTAACCAAACACCAAAAAATTATCAAATTTGTTTTCGGGATGCATTTTACACGAAAAACAGTCTTGTTGTTTAGTTTTCGTTGAAAACAAATAAGTTATGTTTTTTTTTTCTAAATTTTACCTCCACACACAAACACAATCCAAAAAATATCAAGTTAGAGCTTTAGGATTAATTCTGAGATGCCCAATTTTTGCTATAGGAAAGTGGTTCTTGTGTGTGCGATCAAATAAATAAATTTATTACAAAGTACTTATGTTACAATTCGCAGGTATGAAATTAAAATTTTAGAATTGAAATTAGAATTGATGGAATCGGAGAAAATCAACTCTGTAAGTTGGACAAAAAATTTCTCCAATTCCATCAATTTTAATTCCAAAATTTCAATTCCATGTCTCCAAACACAACCTAACTTTCCTTGGTTGAAGTAAATTACAGTTAAGTAAAAAATTAAGTTGATAAGAAGGATTTTAAGTTGTCATTAAAAAGTTTGGGAACTTCGACAAATAGCAAATTCACACACCTTTCATTTCGGGATACTTGAAATTTCAAACTTTGAAAAATTGATAAAATATCACTAAATTTTGATAAATTCTAGTATCATTACATGGTTGGGAATAACACGCTTTTTTTTTTTTTTTTTTAACAAAAAATCAACCCACCCATTAGTCATTTTGGACTCTGAAATGATTTATAAACTCTATATTTATGAAATAGCCGTTAGTCTCAAAACCGAAGGCCTAAAGGGAGTACCCCCTAAGATCTCCCCGATCGTGAATAGTAGTTTTGAAATTGCCGCTTATGCAATAAGCTTAAATTTGAGGGTAAATAACTCATACACAATAATCATTTGCTCTCCTTGGGGCTATTATACAAGTTATAAATTACAATATTATTATTTATAAATTTCAATATTATAGATAATAATGGGTATAATGGTAAAAATAATTTAAAACTCTCTTTTATTTTCTTTTTTAAAAGAAGAAAAAGCATAAAACTTTTTTTTAAAAGTAGTTTGACTAATTCATTCTTACCATATTTTAAAGTGTTCAATGGGCTGTTGGAATAAAAAAAGAAAAAAAAAAAAAAAGGTAAAGTACACCAACTGATGTTTGGCATAAGAATAGGTAGATGAAAATTGTCCTACTTTTGGACAATCACACTCTCTCAAGTTTGATAGAATGGACAAAGACACTCTGACAATAATAAATTAACTTTATTATCCTTTAATATTAAATTGACAAATACAATTAACTTATATACCCTTAAACCAAATAAGTTTAAAAGGTTATTGGGTAAAACCCATCTGCTAAACCCAAAATCCTTACCTACTTTTTCCCTTTCCTCTCTCAGACGGTCAGACCCTAATCCAAACAACTGATACATATACATATATATATATATAGTATGTATATCTGTACACACATATATATCATCACCACCACAAATAAGATATTTGCAGGGTGCCGCTGCTGGATTTCCTTTGATATTTGCAGTGTACCCATCGCCTCAATCCCCTGCAACGGCTGAATCGGGTTCACTTTTAACTCCAAATTGAAACTTGGCGACTTCGCAGTCACTGGAAGATCCGAGAATGCTTTGTCAGTGGGGACGAATAGGGTAAGGCACCACCTTCACGGGCTTCACCTTCAGATACCCCAACTCAGCGGCGCCACCGCAGTCCGCTTTCTATACCACCACCAATTTCATACCCACAGTCGCCACTCTTTTTTCTGCCATCTCATCGCCGCCGTCCTCATAATTGGAGTCATCTTCTTCATCGTCTAGCTCGTAGGCTGTGGGTTGATGAGGGAGACGGTGGTGGAGGTGACCATGAACTCGAGGCGGGGGCGGAAGCTGGGACATTTGGGACATCTCTCTTCTCTCTTTTTAAAAAAAAAAAAAAAAACACAACATAACACTGCTGTGGGGTGTTGGGGTATATATATATATTTATATAGATGAAAAATGTAATTTGGTCACTTTTAAATATTTTGATATTTTATAATTAAAATAGAAAAATAGTGAAGGGTAAAATAAACTGTTCATATATTTTAAGGCTTTATTTGGATGACAAATTTCACAAGGAGGTGTGAATATTAAAAGATAGGCAAACTTTCATCAACTTGTCCTTATGTCAAACCTCAGGGGTGGGGTGTTAGTGTACTTTACCCAAAAAAAAATAGAGTAAAAAAAAAAAATTGCTATATGGTAACTAAAACGGGTGGGCGCTTGCCCATTTACCCAAAAGCTCGAACTGTTGGGTAGTGCTGCATACCTACCCATTTATACCCATGTCACTTCCCATCCGGATCCGATGTGGGACAACTTTTCCCTTGTAATATTCTCCCCCACCCGAACGCGCAACGCCCTCGTTGCGGTCGGGCCTGATACCAACTGAAACGGGTGGGCGCTTGCCCATTTACCCGAAAGCTCGAACTGTTGGTTAATACTGCATACCCACCCATTTATACCCATGTCATTTCCCATCTAAATCCGATGTGAGACAAATTTTCCCTTGTAACAGTAACATATTAAAATAAGTAATTTCCATAATTAAATTATTTTTTAATTTATTTTGTAACAACATTTTTTAAAATATTTCTATTGCCAATTTCACAATAATATATTATAATAAAATATTCCCATATTTGATAATAGCAACTTTATTAAGGAATGAATGCAATTACCTTTATAAAAATAAAAAGACATAAATAATTAATGAAAAACAGTTTCCTAAAATATTCAACCTTTACTCACAAGGCAATTTTAAAAAACTCTAAAGTTATCTAAAATATTTTCATTTGATAACCATTATAAACACTTTCAAAAAAAAAAAAAAAAAATTGTAGAGAACAATCCCAAAGGGAATTTATGAGACTCATAAATCAATACATATCATTAAAACTCGGCAAGTTAATCTCAGAAAACATTGATTTTGTTTGCTAATCATATATAAGTAGATCTCCTAATTAGTTAGGAGACTCATAAATCAATACATATCATTACTAAGAAAAATTTATTCTCACCCACAATATACTCTTGCAAATGGCAAGTTAATCTCAGAAAACATTGATTCTATTTTGCTAATAATATATCGGTAATTAGTAAGAAGCTAGAGATATGCCAGCCACAATTAAGTGACAAGCTACATAAATGAAACATAAATAAATAATGAAACAGAGTCTCATAAACTAAAGAGACAACACAACCATGGAGAAACAATTAACACGTGAAAAGACCAACCACACTTGTTCTATTCATCTTCATCTACCATGTATTTCTTGAGCAACTCGGTGCAACCGGCCATGGGCTCATTCCTCTGGAAGCCGATGGAATTGACGTTACGGATGTCGGGTACAATGCCGTTGTATCGGGTGAGAATAACTCGAGCACGGTCACGTCCGCTGCTCGGTGTAGCACAGTCGGACTGTGGGCTGCTAACAACCTTCACATCACACACATCGTCACCGCGGTCACCGGAGACCTCGATGTTGTATATCCCGGCTGAGCTCGTCACCCCCTCGATGCTGTACTTGAGATCTTCAGTTTTCCTATCCTTGCACTCGATTCTAACCGTTGCACCTGCAAAAAAAATGTCAAAAACATTTTATATGATTTTAACTCGTGATACCCAAAGCACTTCAAGGGAAAACAAGACTCCATTTTCATAGATCTGTTTAAAGAAAAAGGATTTGATTCCAATGATTTTGGGAAATGTTGTTTAAATTTGAAGTTTGGTTGGAGAGAATTGTAAAGGATAGGAAAGGAAATGAAATGGAACGAAATCTAATTGTGTTTGTTACATAATTATGATCCCCTCCAACCTTTCACAATACTTGTTTAAAATGATAGACATGGGATGATTTAAAAGTTATAAATCAAAATTATTAGATAATGCGAGATCATGAAATACTTAAAAGTCGGGTTCAATCAAAATTGGACTTTAATTTAATGAGGCCATTTTTTCTTAGTGGAAGAGTTTTGATGAGACCGGACCAATCCGAACTTTGATGGGTCCACTTTTTGTAGGTACATGATCCACTGCCATCTAAGTACTTTTTCGTTGAATCAAAATGCCTAGAAATTGAAAATCATTCATTTTGAAAAAGTATATGTATATTTTTATTACTACTATTTTCACACATTGTCTCTCGTGTTTAAATTTTTTTTTTTAAATTAAACAAAATTTTGTCACCAATGCTTGGAAAACAGGAAAAAGAAACAAAATAACACAAATGTAAAAAACTGAAAATACATATTAAAAAACCCATCTATGTGTTTGTCAAAAATAGTAAGCCAAATCTACAACAATAATCATAAACACAACAAAAAACAAAAAACTAGTAACAAATTCTAAACCAACCAAAGGTATAACAAAAATTATGAACATTTATATATATATCTGAATCAGAGAAAAAATAGTAGGATAATCAGATCTGATGAAAAAGATAGGAGTATGAGAGAGATTGATAAATACCAGCGATGTAGGGGGTTTTGTCGGTCTCGAATCCGGCGCAGCAAGTGTCGCAGTAGACTTTGCCTCGGACCAGAAATGGATTGCCGACGAAGCGTGCGCTAACGAGCGCCGGGAGGACACAGAGAGCCAATAACAAAATCAACCTACTCATTTTGCGTTGGAAGTTTGTGGGAATGTGTTTGTTCTTCGCAAGCAAGAGAGAGAAAGTGAGGAGTTTGGGTTTAGAGAGGGAAGTGAAGGAGGTAATAGATATAGAGAGAGGAGCAGAGAGAGAGAGCGAGTGAGGGTGAATGGGCTGTCATACAGCACAGAAGCAGATCAATCACATGGGGATCACATAAAAGAAAGTAAGCGCGTCTTGCGGCACCATCTTTCTCATTAATTTCGGTCGGTGGGGTCTCACCTCTTTCTGTCTTTACGCGGAGTTACAATTTTGCGCGTATGCGCATTTAGTAAGTTAGTAACATGCGATTTAAATTTTAAAACAATTTAACATTCACATCTCAAAATTTTTTGTTCTCACCTTAAGGAATTTTTTTATTAAAATAATATTTAAAAGAAGTTCTATCAAAAAGGGATGTCCACGATAAGTTTACGAGTTACTTTTTAAATAACCTAACTCTTTTTTCACATTTCTTCTCGTGATCTCTAATTTTTATAACATATTCGTTAAATAAAGAAAAAAAAATTTAAATAAAAAGAAGAGAATAAGGGATGGATGATGCATTCAGAATAGATTACATATTTCTTTCTTTTTATTCAATTGGATAGAATAAACGAGAATAAATTCATAATTTAATATGTTTGTTAAGAGATAGAAAGAGAAATTTTTAATTATTTTTACCCTTATATCAAATAATATTTATAATGTTGTAATTTACAGAGGATAGTATTGTATTTTAAAACTTGTATAATTTAGTATGGTATTTAATTTAAAATTTCCATAATAATCCATTTGTTTTCCCGCCTATTTTTCGGTGGATGAAAATTTATAAAGGAATCATCTCCCTTTTCTCTTTTCTTTCCTTGTATTATCTCTATCGAATAAAGAAAGTTCATTCATTTCCTCCTATTTTCTCTCCACACCTCCTTTTTTCTCTCAAGCTCCTACCGAACATATAATTAATATTTTAGATCTCTTTTGACAATTTTTTTTTTTTTTTTTACGAGACCAAAGAAAAAAAAATTATGTTCAATAATTTGCCTCTTTTGAGTAGACCAAAAAAATAAAAAAGTAACCATTAAAAATGATATCTTTTAACATGAAAAAACCCCCCCCCCAAAAATTATATTTATTGAAAAAATTATCTCTTTTGTCAAAGATAAAAAAAAAAAAAAAAAGGTACGAAAAAAAGAGGATTAAAAAAAAAAAAAATTCTATTTGAATAAATTAAGGGATGGTACATTAATAAATTCAAGAACATTCTTGTTATTTCTTTTAAAAGAATAACGTAAATGGAGTGCAATTGGAGAAAAGTAGGATGCGAATATAGCCTCTCAAAAAATATAATGTAGAATTGAGTGTGGGATATTTGTAAGGGTATTTATGGTATTTTTTTGCATAAAAAAAAATAAAAAAGGGCGAGAGGGTATAAAATTACAGTTTGAATGTCTTTTCCAAAAATTTAAAAATAAAAATAAAAAATTGAAAAAGGGAAGATGCAGATCAAATATGATAAATGTAAAAAATAAAATAAAAGGCTTAGGAAATGTAATTTTATTTATATTTTTCATATTCAAATAGAATTTAATATTTAATATTTTTCAAATAATAAAAAAGTATGGCAACTTGTTTAGGGCTTGTTTGGTATGTGTTTTGTTTTTGTTTTGTCAGGGTATTGTAGTAGCGAATAGTGGAAATAATACGTTTGGTAAAAATTGTTTTATTTTACATAGTGCCGAAACTTTTTGTGAATAGTGACCAAAAATCGAAACATCAATTTGGTGTTCTTATATGTTTATGCGATGTAACGTTTAGTACTATAGCGATGAACCGTAAATTTTTTGTTTTTTTTTTTAAATAAAAAAAAAAACCTCTTTAATGACATGTTTAAACTAGCTATTATATTTTTTAAACTTGTAATACTTTTTTATCAAACATGTTTTCATATTCTTATTTTCAAAAATCTTGCAACAAATGTAGATTGCCAAACATGCTTTCGAATACTATTTAAATTAAACATTTTATAGCAAAACACTTATTCTAATTTAAAACAAAACGGCAAAAACAAAACGTGTACCAAACAGGCCCTTAGTTGGTATGATACTCTCTTCAAAAGAAAGGTTGAGAGTCCTTGTACTATTAGACCCAGTTTGTTACGTAGAAATATAGTGGAATGGGCATTCCATTTCAACAATTTAGAGTGGGAATGACAAAATCCATTTCACATCTAAACCAATGAAATGAAAATTTTGATCACCAGACTCACCACTGCCGCCACCACATTCTACCACCACCATCACAGCCACCGACTTCCGCCACAAGCATTGCCACTATTGCCTTCCACCGTAGCCACTGCCTTCCTCTACCACCACCTTCTACCGCTGCCACGACCATCGTCACCGTCGCCACCTCCACTGTCACTCTCACCTCCTCCATCACCTTTCACTACTTCCATCACCACCACCTTCCACCGCCACCTTTCACTACTTCCATCACTATCACTTTCCACCACCACCCCTTAAATGATGATTATCATTTTTTTTCTAAATCATTTCATATTTGCAATCAAATAATAAAATAACAATGATCACTTAAAATGCATGGGTTTGATTTTACTTTGGGGAATGATAAAAACGTAAAAAAAAAAAAAAGAAAAAAAAAAGGGAAAACAAATTGGATACAAATTAGAATTTATTTTATTTCAGTTCTTCACTTTTTTAGTATAGAAGAATAATAAGAAATAATTCTTTTAAGTCTCTTTATCATTGAATTTCTTAAAAAAGGAAATTTCAAGTACGCGTGCAATTCAATGATTTCAATCTTCCACCTAAACCATGAAACAAACAACGGATAAAAGACTGATTTCTTAAAAAGAAAATTAATAAATATGGAGGAAAAAAAAGAAGTTCCCATTCTATTCTCGTGAGTCATTGCAAAGGTGATGCAGTATTACTTATTAGTTAAAGACTCAGAGGGCCCCACTGCAAGTTTTTCTGCATATGATTTTGCTTTAGTGAGTCAAATAAATTTTCCTTTACTAATATTATTATTGTTATTATTATTTTTCTCTCTAGTCTGTCTCTTTCTAATTTTTCTTTTTGGATAAAATATGATGAAAGTGTCCCAAAAGTAATTATTCAAAATGATGCTCGAGACCCCATTGAAATTTAAATAGTTGCAGGTCCACCATGCAATAGTGAAAATATATGAATTTTGAAGTAATGGAAGAAAAAGGTTTAAATTATACTACTAGTATATACATAAATGTCGATACAAAAGAGAGCAGTGTATCACTTTTCCTTTTTCCCTTTTCCACGGCAGCAACAAGAAGATTTTATTCAGAAAGGAATTTTTTTTTATTTTTTAAAAGTTGTGCTATTTGACCCAATAAATATAAAATTAATAATTCATCACCGGCTTTAAGTGACAGAATAAAAATCCAAACCAAAAGATAAAATGGGTTCCAAAACAAAAACTCTCTAAAAATAGATGAACAAAAATAACTCTTAAAAAAAGTAACAACTGAAATTTTAACAAAATAATAACTTTGAAAGAAATATTCAACAAAACAAAAAATCTCAAAAAAGAAAACACAACAAATAAATAAAATAAAAATCCTAGGTTCTTCAATCATCCATTTTCAAGAAATATGCAAACCCAGTTTGTGAAAATGAAAAAAATATGGAAAGAATTTCTTTTTCCATTATTCTAATGAGAGAGAGAGAGAGAGAAAAAAAAAAAAAAAAAGAAAAAAAAAGAAAAAGAAAAAAGAAAGAGATAGAAAGAATCTGTGCATGAGTTAGGATTTTAGAATAGCCATGTTATGGAAAGAATCGTAGTTGAGTTTGAAAGATTTTAGGATAGTAATTATGGAAAGAATTATATTTGAACTGAAATTTTAAGATAGGCCCATTATTATTATTATTATTATTTTAATGTAATTTGGTTTTTATTGGGGACACTACAGTAATCAATTATATCATTTTTCTTTTTTTAAAAAAATTTGAAGTATGAATGGCTAGAAAAACAAAATTTTGACATAATAATTTTTAATAAGATGATAACTACTCAATTCCATATTAATTATCCATCTTTGATATTAGAAGTTTTTAAAAGTACATACAATTAATGCGTTATTCTCTTTTAAAATTACTAATTTATATATATTACCACAATGAAAGTTTTTTTTTTTAATAAAAATTAAAGGGTAATAATGGAAAGATGATATTATTTTAATTTTACTTTGCAAATGGGATAACTAATTACGAACATTCTAAAAAGGAGATGTATTACTAATATGAGAGTATAAGGGCCTCTTTGGTTTATTTTTTTAAACTAGTCATTATATTTTTCAAACTCGTTAACACTTTTTTTTTTTTTTTTAGTTATACTGAACAATACTTTTTTACCATATATATTTTATATTTTTACTTCAAAAAATTATGCAACAAATAAACATTACCAAACATGACTTTCGATTACTATTCAAAAACATTATTTTCATTTCGGGTTAAAAAAAAAAAATCCAAAAGTATTTAGCCCAAAAATATTTTTGGTTACCAAACATACCCTAAATTTACATTAATTTATTTTCAAGTAAACTTTATGCATTTCAAATCGTGATTTTTTTTTCAGTTTGCTTGAAAAAACTTCGTGCTAATCAAATATATATTGAAAAATTCACATTCCTTTCATTAATTGGATTTAAGATCTCTCAACAAGCATGTGCAAGAGCTAACTTAATGGATGAGAGAACATAATTAAAAAAAAATGAAAAGGTTTAGACTTCCGAGGGCAGATCCATGGGAATTCAACAGACAAAATTATGTATATTTGAGCACGGTCCATTAATTGCAGATCAATGATCAGCATATATTGTGGATAATTTTGACTAACAGGAAAAGAAAGCATGTGCATGGCACATGTTCAAGTGCTTAATTCTTGGATTAGAAGCTATAGGCAGTCCCACAGCATTCATGTTACGGTTTCATTCGACCCAATTTGGTTAGAGCATTGGGTTTTTTTTTTGTTTTTTTGGGACAAATCGGCCTGCATTGAAAACTAACAAGAGGGTCGGACCCACTTGCCCTTGTTCGTCATTCGGTCCAAACCGAATTAGGCCCAAAAGTAACTTTTTTT